TCCGGCTGTGAGTGTTGGGGGCGGTGGGATCCGGCTGTGGGTGCTGGGGGCAGTGGGATCCAGCTCATAGACCGGGCACCCCTCTCACATCCGCGTCTTTCACAGGGCCGCAGATCGTCGTGAGCGTCTACGGACCTGACTTTTTTGGAAACGATGTGGTCAGAGGTTATGGAGCTGTTCATGTTCCCTTCACGCCCGGAAGGTGAGGTGATAACCTGTCCATCAGAACTGAAACAGATTTTTTTTTTCCAGTTACTATGTTGTTTGAGAAACAAAAACGTTCCCATATCTCCTTGTCTTGTCCGCTTGGTACAAAGAGCATGGATTTTCTAGCAGCAGCCCCTGGTTATCAAATAATTTTTGGTAATCCTGTAGACAACTGTGAAGTCAAAGCCGGCGTGTAGAAAGCCCCAGTGTGAAGCGCAGGAGGTTCCCTCTCCCCCATCACTCCCAGCACATGCCAATCTTTCATTCCCACTGCTGGAAATGGAGGAATTTTCTCTTCCTACACAAACCAACCCCTTCTTTTTGGGAAGTGTTACACTTAGAGACGTTCAGTGATCTGGTGTGTCTGCAATTCTGGGACCTTTGTCAATACAAGAAGTCTTGCCAGCGCCGTTTAGTTCCTTTCTCAAGTTCTGTGCATCTCATGCTTGTTTTAGGCATACAAGAACCATCGCTATGTTTGTTCCAGAGTCCACATCCAGGCTGCAGAAGTTCACAAGGTAATAATTAATAATAATATCATAACCAGATAGTTTTGTAGGTAAAATCACGTTTTTAGGTATCCAGGTCTTTTGAAGAGCTTTCTTAAAACATGCTCACTACCTGCTTGCAGTAATGCTAACTCGTCTTTTTTTTTCCTCCTCACGTTTGAACACTGTTGGTTTGAAAAAGAACTAATTTCTGCAGGCTGGCACGTGAGTTCTTGCACTGAGTGGCAGCTCCACATTCCACAGGTAGATTCACGTCGGTGATGGGACTTGCAGAGGCGCCACTCAGACTAATTTTACTGAGCATTTTCGTTGTCACTGGACTCTAAGGAGCCCATCCCTAAATCTTAACAGTAGCTAGAGGCTTTTCTCGAATGGTAGCCACGTTAAGCACAATCTGGAAAGCAAAGGCAGAACATGGCAAAACAATTCCCAGTTCTACCTTTTCTCCCACCTGGAATGCCTTTGCTGTAGCCTTTTTCTTGTTCACACACACACACAAGTCCCTTCCACAGTAGCAGTCTACACACAGCAACTGAGGGTATGAAGATTTTTTCCTTCCCTTGTGTCGTTTAAGTACAGTCTGAATGATCCGTGAGCGGATCGTCTGGTTGTACCAACAGCCTACCCCTGCGCAGAGCCAGCCTCATGGTACTGGAGCACTTTGGGTCAGAGGTGGGGTGGGAAACTGTGCCTAACAGTCAGGAATCAACTGACTTGCTTTTCTTTTCTCTATGACACCCTTTTTGTAGAATCTACACTCTAATTTGTATAGTTTTGTATGATGCTCACCTCTGGTGCAGTCAAAGTATCCGAGCCTCTGTGTTACTCTGGGTAATCAAGAGCTGAGTCGGTTTCAAAAAAGTCTTTGCCATAGAAGGATTCTGTCTAGCCCAGAAATAACTTGGATTTAACATCATGTGTACGAAATTGGTTTCATTTTTTTCCTTAGAGAGACAAAACATCTCGGATCAAAGTAGATCAGCAATAAAGTGAATCAGTCTTCAAAACTCTCTACTGCAAACAAAAGCCAGGAGTCTCATTAAACCCCACCTTCGTTTTTTTTTAACGTGTATATAGTGAACTGTATCAAATCTAAACACCAGTCAATGTATCCAATGAATTATTTTCTGTTTTCTTCTCCAAGTTGGTTCACAGGGAGACGTCCGGAATTTACTGACCCCAAAGTGGTAGCACAGGGAGAAGGAAGAGAAGGTAAGTCCCTGGGAGCTCCTGACTGCAACCCTTGCACGACAGCAGGCCAGAGCTTGGCCATCCGTCTTCTGTTGACAAAAAAGACTATCTGTTCCTGCTGTGAACAATCCTACCTGGATATGGGAATAGCTCAACAACTATTCAGAAACCTCTCTTAACCACTTTTATTCACCTCTTCTTTCTTTCTAGTAACGAGGGTACGATCTCAAGGCTTTGTGACTATTTCCTTCAACGTCGTGACCAAAGACATGAAGAAGCTGGGCTATGAGGTGAGCCCGAGCGATATGCAGAACCCTCCTCTGGTGCCCCTGACAGACGGGATTCATAAGTACTGAACTCGGAAGTTAAGCACTGTGGGGATTTTGTGGCAAAGGGAAATGAGCATCTGACTAAACTGAGAAAATGTCTCTCAAGACCGTTATTCCAAAAGAAACATCAGCCCATAAGGCTTTGGAATAATTTCCTAAGTGTAATCCCTTCAGTAAGCGTAAGGGTTGAAGTATTATGTAAATTAATGTAATCAGATAATATTTAGCATTTTTATGAGTAATATCAGACTATCTCAGAATAAGGCCCGTGACAAAATATTTTTCGTAACAGCCTTTTGTACACTCTTTATATACTTAAAGAATAGGGAAGTTTACAGTTGTGGCAGTTTTACCGTGTTTAAAACATCGTTGCAAACCCAGTTCTTTCTCCTAATGTGTTTTTTTGTGGTAGAAATAGGAAATGAAAATCATTGCACCTTCCAAAAAGGAGGGAATATGGAAACGTTCCAGTGAAACACACACGCACTTCTGCGTGCCATGTGCTTCCCTCTGCAAAAGCAACAGCAGTTCTCTTTGTAATCCCACTTAGTCCTTTAGAGTTTGTGCAACTAATTAAAATAGCTCACGCGCTGTGGAAACAAACCTTTCCACGTTTTTTCTGCGAAGCAACCTGGGCTTTTGTATTTAGAACAAGATGACGACTCTTCCGTTTCCAGATTTTACTTCTGCATTAAGCTCCAGGATGGGGAAAAAAAAAAAAAAAAAAAAGAAGTTATTTTAGAGGAGTTAGAGAGACCATGATGTGAAACGTAGCCTTGCTGCCTGATTTAAGCTTCTGGTAGAACAAGTGGCATTCCAAGCGCAGATATTGACTGAAAAATCAACATTGGAGAAGGCTCGGCAAGCAAAGCAGAGCCTCAGTACGCCGGTTGTGTGCACAGCTCCAAATCGGGCTCCAGAGGCAGCACGGGAGGCTGGGGAGCAGCAGAAAGAACCTTCTCCTCCCTCCAGGAGGTGCCTCCAGCCAGCACATCACGCAGGTGACGCACCACAGCTTTCCTTAGCTGGTTTTCTTATTAAAGGAAGGCCGTGAAAACCAACACGGTGATGTTCTCTTAGGGTTTTTGTTTGGTTGTGCCAGAATAGGTGTTTCTAAGCCCCACATCATCCAGGATCTGCTATTCTTACAGGGACAAAAGAGAAAGAAGTGTGTGCTACAACGAAATGACTAATTGCTTAGTTATCTTCTTATTTAAATTTGGGCATGTCATCTCTTGTGTTTGACTGCAAACACCACGAGATGACTGTGAGAACGACTTAACATGACGCCGCCCTGTCAGTGAACTACCAAGACCTTGAAAATGTAGAAATACCAGTAGTGACACACAGTGCTGAACTGTGGAGCCTCCTGGACACGTGTCACATAAAGCATCCAGTCAGAGACAGTTACCATTGCACGCTGAGCAGTGCGACTGAATAAATATAATTTTTGAAAAGGTGTGATTGCTGTAATATTGCTGTGAGCATTAGTGTCTTTTATACTACTTATAAATACTTTTCCAAACGCGGCTACAGGTGATTTTTCATCTCTTACTTTTTTCCTGTCTTGCTTTTGTTGATTTTACACTTCCAGTAAGCTCCTCCACCACTTGTTTTGGCAACTGCTGTAATCTCTGAACTGAGTCATGTTGGAATCCAAATTAATAAGCATTTCCTGTTGGCTCAGAGGACATGCAAGGAATTCTGTTTCCTTTTCAAAAGTATTTGGGAAGCAGTTTGCTACAGTAGCAGGATAAATATCTCTGTTTGAAATACTTGAAAGGCAAACATTAGACCTACTACTGCTTGAATCTCTTTTTTTCCCCTGAGCACAGTTACCTGCCCCCATTCCAATTAGAGCAAAACTGCACAACAGAGACTCCAGTCATGAGAAACCTGTTAAATCCAGATAAATCCCAATCTTCGTGCCCACAGGGGCACAGTGAATTTATTCACACGCAGCTTTGCGGGGCGGTGCTACGACCGCTCTCCTGAGTTGTTCCTGTTTCAAACGAGGAGTTTGCACAGCTTCACCGCTCACAGCCAAGCTGCAGGGACCCTCGGAAGAAAGGTTAAAAACCACAAACAAACAACAAAATAAACCCACAGTGAAAAGCAAGGATTTTAAAAAAAACGAACCCCACAAAATAGTATTTAAGATACGTGACTCTACCAGCAGATCCCACACAGCCACCTGCGTTATTAGGACTTTTTGCCTATTATCTCTGAGCCTGGGTGTGTTTTTGGGATTTTTTTTTCGATCCTCAGTGTCTCGAGCATGTTTGTTAAGAACCTCACATCCCTCCTTCAAGGCCGTAAGGTGTTTGTGAGCGCTCCGCTGCGGCAGCTTCTCGGTCTGACAGTTTGCTCCTTACACAAGGGCACGCGGAGGGGGGATGTTTCCGGCAGTGTTTCCCGAGTTCGATGCCGTTCCCTTTGTTCTGAGGGTCAACTGTTGATATCGCTCCCAAACATGCTCTTCTCCCAGAGATGGGCTTGCTGCTGGCCTTGTAATTTTCTGGAAAACTGTCTCTGGTTTAAGTCTTTGGCACTCAGGCGTGGCAGAGCCTTTGCAGCTGTTTCACCCCGGAGAGGATGTCTGCTCTCCTGACAGAGGAGTGAAGCTAGACACGAGAGAGCGGGGAACATTAACAAGGAAGGGATTTATTGTAGATGCCTCATCCCTGGAAGTGTTCAAGGCCAGGTTGGATGAGGCTTTGGGCAACCCGGTGTAGTGGAGGGTGTCGCTGCCCATGGCAGGGGGGGTTGGAACTAGACGATCTTTGAGGTCCCTTCCAACCAAAACCATTCTATGATTCATCACCCGTGAGCATTCGTTGCAGCTGGTGTTAAAGGTTACAAGAACCCATGCTTGAAGAACAGTCAAAATCCAGAAAACCCAGCCTTGCTGTAGCAGAGGCCAAAAGTCACTTCCTTTCGTCCACGCTCCCGGCAGCTGTAACCACCCTGCTCCTTCACTAGTTAATCATTCTCCCTTTCACTCAAAACTGGACTGAATTTCCCAAGCCCTTGCGGCACAGATGGCAGCACGAGGCTGTCGGCTGGCACTGCAGCTCCTGTTTTGTTACGCTTAAGTCTCTCCCAGACAGTGAAATTGGCCATTAACCTCCTGATTCAATATGGGCAGGAAAAACCTCTTTATTCAGAACATGTGTCCTGGCCCAGGGTGAGCCTTCAGGGCCACTGAAACAGAGACCGTTAGAGCTGAACGAAGCCTGTGAGATAGTTGAGGACTTTGTAGAAGTCCCTCTCTGCTCTCCCGGTCCAGAGCAGCTCTGGAAAGAGCTGCCCAGCAGGACCACACTTACTTCATGGGAGAGTTTTCCTGTCGTTTCCATGGGAGCCACCCTGGGAGGGAGACAGCCAAGGACATGGACTGAACAGCAGCTTGGGGATCAAACAAACCTTCTAGAAAAAGGAAAATTATTTAGATAGCCTTTAGGAACCGGTATTTGCAACTCCTTCTGCCAAAACTAGAAACAGCAGCATCAGCTCCTGCCCTCTCGTGGCAGTTTTCAACCTTTATGAAGATGTTAGAAGTCACTAATAACAATTATCGAACAAGATTGCACAAAGGACACCCAAGTTTTTCCTGTTCCTACAGGGAAAATTGCTCCATGCAGTGGTGCTGGCTGCCCAGCCGCTGCCACTTGCCCCAAGAGCACTGGGCAAACAGCTCCCAGTGCCACAAGCCACCTGTGCTGGCTCACAGAAGCAGTATTGCAGCAGCCAGGAGTTCCCTCCAGCTGAAAATGCGAGTCTCGCAGATGGATTAAAGCTGACAGCAACTGCTCCCCAGCAGCGGTGTCGGTTTGGGAGCAGGTGCCTCCTGTGGAATACTCCAAATGAAAAACAAAAACCCAAAACAAACGACAGAAGAGCCAGATTTGAAGGAAATTGGAGCTTCACCTCCAGCTTTACCTGGGCTCGTCACCAGCAGCATTTCAACCCGTTGCAAACCAGCCCCAGGATGAGCTGTTAGTGCCAAGGTCACTGGAGCATCGTGCCAGGACCTGCTGCCTGCAGAGACAGAGGGGCTGAACACCCTGGATCCATGAGCCTGGACAGGGGTCCATGGGGTGGCAGGGGGACAGGACAGCTGGGGTGGGAGACGGACTATGCAGAGCGAACAGCATCAGCGGCGGCTGAGCAACACTTGCACCCGTGGCTGCAGTGTGGAGCCTGTGTCTGCAGCCAGCCAGGCACCACCAGCAAGAACCACCTTCCTCTGGGCCTTCTCCCTTTTGTCTGGCAGTGCCAGTGGATGGCACGGAGCAGCAGCTGGATAAGCAGGTGGCTGCAGCAGAGCCCACACAGGACATCTCCAGGGTGCTCCTCAAACACACTCAGGGAACCGAGCCCCCCATGAGAGCACCATGAATCCCCCTCCTGCACCCACCACCCAGCCCAGCTGCAGACCCAGGGTCCAGGCACACAACCCTATGCCAACGGCATGTCTGAAGCAGCCACCAACAGCAATTTTGAACATCTTCCAAGGCCACACGAGCCCCCAAGCAGGAACACTGCAAAGAGCCAAGCAGAGGCTGCCCAGCCTGCACCCCAAAGAGGGACGCTCAGCACTTGTTCCCTTTCCTCCTCCTCTCACTGTTCATCCATGGGTGCACACTGCAGAGGGGATCCCCGAGGCTTTTCCCGTCAGCTGGGGAGTCCCCTGGGAAGCAAACATGGATGAGCTCGAACGCCAAGAGCCGAGGCACTCATGGGTGTTGGCAAAGCCAGGAACAACCTCCACATATGGAGCACAGGAGAAAAACCCCACAAACCCGCAGTTCCCACCAGCCTGCAGAGAGCACCCAGCACCCTCCGCTGCAGCATAAAGGAGGATGTGGAGCACAAGGACGGTGAGTTACAAGGGATAGGCTTGAGATGACAATTTTCTACTGCCTGGGCATTTTTAGGGCACAAATCCCATTAGATACCATCCTTTGACCACCGAAACCAGGCCTGAGCCCCCAGGAGGGAGGCTGCAGAGAAGCCAGGGTGCGACACAACCCG